TTTTGAGGCAGGAGCTCCCGGGCGGCCGGAGGGAGCAGCCTCTCCCCTGGTGCCCGCAGCTATGGCCAAGGTGGAGTGGCTCCTGGCACCCTGGCACCGGGCAGGTAAGGTGGGCAGCAGGGCAGGGCTGGGGTGGGCAGTGGGGCGGTGGGGTCGTCAGGCAGGCACTGCTCACTCTGGGGGCTGAGGGCAGCTGTTGGGCACGGATCCTGTGGAGGCCATGCAGTAGCCCCAAGGTCAGCACTGCCCAGCAGTATCAGTCTTGTCCCACCTTCCCCAGCCTGACCTGGGGTATGTGCCTTTCCCTTTTAAATCCTTCTGCCGTTCCCCAGCCTGGTGGGGTGTCCCTTGTCCCTTTTGAATCCTTCTGCCGTTCCCCAGCCTGGTGGGGTGTCTTTGCTCTGACAAAACAAGAGAAAGGTGGAGACTCCCAGCCTGTGTGTCCCACTGACCACTCCACAGTCCTGCAGGGACAGATCCTGCCTGTCTCCGTGGCACTGTTCCCTCCTGGCAGCTCCCACATGCTGGTGGCAGCAGGAGTGAGGACTGTGGGTCAGTACAAACATCACAGCCACCCAGGACCCTCACTGCTGTTACTGCTATCTCTCCCGCTGTGACTGATTTCAGGTCTCTGGCCCCTTTGTCCCGGGGCCTCTGGCCACATTCCCCTCTCAGGCGACTTCCTCGCATTGTCCCGGTCCCGCGGAGTGTAAAACCAGCCAGGCACAGGGGAAGCGGCGCTTTCCTGGAAGCACCCCTCTGGAAGCAGCCTCTCTGGCACAGGCAGCCTGCACGCTGGGCAGAGTGGTGAGGACTGCCTGGGCATCCATGTGCCACCAAACAGTCTCAGCTAGGCTGGAGACATCACTGCAGGAAGGCTGGCTGGCAGCTGGCCATAGCCACCCTGTGCCTGGCAATGCCTGTGGCTTTGATGCTGTGATGCCGGGGTCCCAGGACTGGCTAGGGATGACAGATTGCCTTGCCAGGTTTCCTGAGGCTCTCAGGAAAGGTTTGTGCCTGGATTTCTGCTGGGAAGCATGGGAGAGTGAGGGTCGCAGTATGACGAGGATGCCAGGCTGTCAAGGAGGTGTGGCAGGACTGGAAGAGACCAGCTGGGGCTGGTCCTGCTGCATGTGGTGAAGGGCTTGGTGCAGGGATCTGGGTCCAGCCAGGCTCCAGAGCTTCAACCCCCACCCCAGTGCTGCTGCTCCATCCTTGGGAGCAGTGGATCTTGGCCCCTTGGCAGGGAACAGCCTGAGTCCACCTTGGCTGGTTGCAGTCCCAGGCCAAGCCCTGCTGCCAGTAGGGCTGCAGGCAGTTCCCATCCCCACGGCACAGGATGGGATGGCATGCCAGGCTCCTCCTGGGCAAGCCTCATCAGCCAAATCTTCCTGCAGCGCATGCACCTCCCGTCCTGCCAAAAATCCCTGACCAGGGCCCGTCTTGCACTGCCGGGACCAAATGTACCCAGGGCAGAGTGTCCTAGCACACTGTTAACTCTGAGCCCTACTCATGGACAGTGATGTTATTATTGACTGTTTTGCTGCTATTGGTTTTCACGGAAACCTCTCACATAATCCAGCCTTCACCCCACAACCACCAAACCTGCCCCTCTGCCCCCAGCAACTTCTGCAGCGCCCTTATCTCCCATCAGTACAAAAATCAGCTGATTTCATGTAAAACAGGGAGAGTGGAAGAGCCAAAAGCCTCCAGCAGATCTGGTGTGTCAAGACAGTGTCATTCCTCAGTGCCTGCGGTCCAGGTGGGCACCTGTGTGGGAGCACATGGATGTGCTGTGCAGGGTAACACCAGGGTTCCAGCATGGCCACACTGGGGGGGCTGGGCATGGGCACCCCAGAAAGGCTTCCAGCCCTTCTGGGCTCAAATACCAGCAGGTCAGACACCTGTGCAGGTGGTTCTGCCTCGCCAGGGGCTTAGAGTTGTGCCGCCAGAGATGCGATGGAGGGAGGGTGTCCTGGGAGGGTCGGATTTGGACAGGGCACAGTCTGTTGGCTGTCCCAACAAGGGCTCGTCCTGGGCACTGTGTGTGTGAGCGCTTGCCTGGTGAGCACCACCGCCCTGTGGCACCAGGCCTGGGGGTGTCAGGGGGGTGTCACTTTGGGACACCGGGTGGGCATCCGTAGCTGGAGCTACCGTGCGCACGGATGCCGCTCCCCATCCCGCAGGGAGCTGGCCCGGCAGGTCCGGTTCAGTGGGGGGTGAGCTTAGGACAGGAGGCATTTCTGCGTCCGCTGCCAGCTCCCACTGTTTGCTCTTTTCCCTTCCTCTCCGCTCGCTGTGGAGCAGCATGAGTTTGGCTGCATACCACGGGAGTGTCACCGAGCCGCACGCGTTGGCAGTGAGCAGTCTGGTGCCGGCGGCGGGTCGCGGCGCTTGCTTGTAGCCAGAGGTATAATGTACCGGCACTGAGGCGCAGCGGCTCCGGAGGGCGGGTTGAGGAGCTGTCAGGATCAGTCTCAGCCCCCAAGTTCACCACCCTCGCCCTCTGGCGCGCTCGGTGCTCCGGACCGGCGGCAGTTGCCGCTGTGCCCGTATCCGTTGCCATGGCTGCTCTGCTGATGGCGCATCGCCCGCTGCTGCCATTACATCATTCCTGCCATAGCTCCGCGCTGGCGGAGAGGGTCCGAGCAGCTCCAGCCGCGTCCCCGGCATCTCCCGTGCGTGGGGAGCGAGCCTGAGAGGGAAAAGTTTGGCGGTGGATTTGAGCGAGAGGCGCCGTCTCACGGGAGCTTCAGCCTGGATTGAAACAGCTCCGATGGCACTGTCAAATATCTCCCTGTGGATTCGGGATGCCTGGGCTGTGGGTGAGTAGGGACCCTGGTGTGGAGTGGCGGTGATGCGGGAAGTGCTGAGGGGCTGGGAGTCCTGCAGGGACACTTTTCCTGTAGGAGAGAGTGGAGTTCAGCTCCCCTTGAAGCGAACTCCCCTAGAATTCAACCCTGGTCCTTGTGTACCTGCCATGGCCACGACACCCCTAGCTGGGACACTGGGTCATGCTGAGCAGGACTCTGAGGCTGCAGCATCTGTTGCAGCTGATGGTGCTGGCTCTCTGGGAACATCCCAGAGCTGGATGCTCTCCATGCCCATGTTCATCTGCAGGCAGAGCAGGGGATGCTGCCTGCTCCTCTCCACAAGCCCTAGGGTCAGAAGGGGGACCTGGTGCCAGCAGGGAGCAAGGTGAACCTCCCCACCAGCTGTGCCTCAGTTTCCCTCAGTGCTGAGACTGGGCAGACTCAGGTCGAGACTGCTGGGGGTGGTGGGTTGGAACTGTCTCTCTGGCTCTGCTCTGCTGAGATGCCATTCACCTCCCGCAGGCATTTGCCACGGGGTTGGGGCCCCTCAGAGGCATTTTGTATTCTGAGCCTGTCACTGATAAATGTGGCGGGGCATTCCCACCAGCTGCCGTGTCCTACCACTGGGCACTCCTGTTTCGCTGAGCTGTCCCGTGTCTGTGGATGGGGGCAGCAGCTGGGCTTCCACGGACACTCTCCAAACCTGCCCTCCCACTGATCCTGCACCAGGCTGCTCTCAAACACTGCCCATCCCTTGGGAGTGCTGGTGGCAGCGCTGCTGGATCAGGGCTGCTGGCTCCTTGCTCCCCATTGCCAAGCTGCTGCGTGGTGCTGGGCTCTGAGTGCTGCTCCCAAAACACCCTCAGAGCAGCTGCTCCCAGGGAGCCAAAGCCAACGCCTGGGAGTGCTACTCTGGCGTGGAGCTGCCCTTGCGGTGCAAGTTTTGGGCACCTGGGTGCCAGGAGAATGCTTGGCTCAACCATCCTTGCCCCCACCTCTTCTCCTCCCCAGCTGGGGAGATGGACCCCACGATGCCCACACCTCAGCAATGCCAGCACCTCAGCAATGTGCCAGCTCAGGGCTGCACTGCCTCACTCACGGTCCCAAACGAGTGCGTGTTGGCAAAGAGGGGGAAGCTCTGTGGGACAGGACACCCTATCGCTGCCCGTTCCCCCTTTGCCCAGCCGAGGCTGCCCTCGCTGCAGGGCAGGGTGCTGGGCCCTTCTCTGGGTGCTACCACACTTCCTCCACACCCAGGGCGGCCCCCAGTTTCGGCACTGCGGTTTGCCCACGTGGTTGGCGCCCGGGGGTGGGTGCCGGGGCTGCCCCAGCAGCAGGGCCGAGGTGCAGAGGTGAGCTCCTGTACTCTGGGGAGGGCGGCGGGAGCTCGGGCAGGTGGAGGGGGCAGCGGGGGGCTGTGCTTTGTGTGTCCCCAAGTCCTGGTGGGACACCGTGTAGCTGCTGTGGGGGATGTGTGGGCAGAAGGTGAAGAGCATCAGCTGTGCCAAGGCCGAAGGCTGGGGCTGTGAGACCTGGGCAGAGGGGTGCAGCAAGCCAGCATGTGGGGTGCACCCTTGGGATGCGCTCAGAAATGGGGAGGCAGCAGTGGATCCCCCATGTTGCCAAAGACAGCAGGTTGGGGGGCTGGGTTATGCTGAGGTGAAGGTGTGATCCCTGCCCCCAGCTGTGTGGGTCAGGTTTTTGGGGAGATGCCCAACCCTGCCTTGTGCCCACTGCACACATGCACACATGTGCCCCAACACCTCTTGGTTGATATGGAAACAAGTCAAATTATTTAGAGGAGAAAGAAGAAAGAAGGAAAAAAAAAAAAAAAAAAAAGGAAAAAACCTGGTGTTAAGGCGCGTCGTTATGGAAACACAAATTATAAAAGTAACTAGGCTGGGGACGTGGCACCTTGCTTCGGGGTGCTGTGCATTGTACGGGTTCCATCAGCTCGGGGAAGGGTGGGCAAGAGGGCACCCAGGGGCAGGAGGGTACTGTAGACAGGAGGGCATCCAGGGGAAGGATGGCATCATGGCCAGGAGGGCCCAGTAGGCAGAAGGGCATTTGGGGGCAGGAGGGCACCGTGCGCAGGAGGGTATCAGGGACAGCAGGGGGGATGCTTGTGACGCAGTGCATGGCAGCCCGACCACCACAGGCACAGCGGAACGTGGCTTGTTCTCAGGGTCCCAGCCCTGTTTTGGGGCCAGTCCCCTTCCCAGGTGAGTGGGATCGCTGGTACTGCCTTGGCTGGGGTCTGGCACGGAGCAGGGTTTGGCAGTGGAGCAGGGTTTGGCAGCGGGGCGGTAGCATGTTCCTGGGGACGGGCACTCCACAGCACCACGCTGTGGGTAGCAGAGGGGGACTGTAATATGCTGGTAATTGCAGAACCTCAACTTGATGGGGATGGGGACAGGGACCAGGCAGCGCAGGATGAGCCCCAAATCCCCAGGGATGAGACTCTGGCCATCCATATCCCTGTGTAAAGCTCACAGAGACCCGCTCTGTGCCCCGCTGGGGCATGGATGTCCTCAGAGGCAGCGTGCCAGCAGTGGCACTCCCTCAGCTCCGTGCTGGGTAGCAAACCCACATCCACTCAGAGTGGCAGTGCTGGGGCTGCAGCGTTCCCATGGCAAAGCCTGTTTGCCAGAGCAACGCTCAGCTCCCCACTGGGCCACCTCACCAGCAAGCCCAGATCCTTCTCCTAGGAACTTTTTCACCCGTAAGGGTGTTTCAGAGGGTCTGGGCAGTCTCACAGAGCTTTCTTTTCCTGGAGAGGTTGGGGAGTGTCCACAGGGGGACAGGGCACGTGAGCCCCGAGCTCCCTGAATCCAGGGCGATGGAAGCGAGAGGTCCCCTGGCTCCTGCCTTTCAGTTGCAACTTCTGCTCCTCTGCAGCTGGGATGTTGCTCCACTGGGGTGTGCAGCGTTTCCTGTGCCCGGGTGCGGCTGGGCATGAGTGGCAGGGCTGGCTTCCTTCCCCAATTTTACCCCGCTCCCTTCTCGGCAGCCCAGAGGGACAGTGTGCAGCCCCCAAAGCGGTGGCAGTGATGGGGGCTGGTCCCAGTGGGCAGCAGCCTGCCAGGGTGGGACGCAGCCACATCCCAGTCCCTGTGTTCCTGGAGAGGTGGGGTGGGATGAGCGCTGTGCCGCTGCGGTGTTGTCCAGTGGCAGCACCTGCGGGGAAGCTGCCCACCTGCCCGCCTCTGACCCTGCTCTCTCCTGCCTGCAGCCACTTCTAACCTGGACCTTGAGAGCAAGAAAGCCGCCCCTGCCAAGCTGCCATGGCAGCAGCCTGTGAACGTCTTCCTGGCAGCTGGGCGCCCACCGGGCATGGAGCAGCTGCACCAGGAGGCCCAGCTCAACCTCCAGAGCTTGCTGCAAGGTAGCAGGGAGAGGGGCTAGGGTGGGCTGGATGAGGGTGGTATATGGGTGCTGCCCTGGCTACGTGATCGCCATGAAACAGTGAGCTTATCTCCCATGCACGTGTCCGAGCTGCTCCTCGGACCTCACCAGGCTGCAGAAGTTGGGTCCCAGCCTCCAGTAGCTCCTCACTGTTCTCTGCTCCCAAATCACTACTGCAAGTGCCAAAGCAGCTGGGGCCAGGACTGCCCCCTGGGGCTTCTGAGGCCACTGGAGTCCCCAGGTCACCCACAGGCCCCACCACAGCGCAGTTCTGCTCACGACGGCCTTAGGGACCTGCCACCAATCTGCCTAACTGGATCAGCGTGGCCAGTGGTTTTGTTTTCTTCCAATCTCTGGCCTGGGCCGTCACGCGGCCCTGCCTCGGATACTCCGGAGGCATCGATGAGATCAGCAGCCCGACCATCCCCCAGCTTGTAATCTCATTAAGTCAGCCTGAGCAGCCCTGCTTTTCACCAGTCCACAGCCACTAGCATTAATTAGCTCAACAATTACAGGATGAGGACACACTGAGTTCCTGGCTGTCCCCAGTGGGGCTCTGCTTCCCAGCAGGACCCACCACATCCCCTGGCAGGCCCCTGGGAAGAGTGGGGCCAGCTGCTGGAGTCTTTGTGCTGCTTCACCACCGCCCCCCCAGACCCTCCTTGGGATCTCCCTTCCCCAACTTCTGAGGTGCCTGTCCTGAGCAGGGATGGCCAGCCAGGCTGGGCACAGCTAGAGGGGACAGTCACCCCTCTCTTTGCGTGCCCCCTGCCACGGCAGCCAACAGCTGGAGCAGGGTCCCAGGTGTCGTTTTTCTTGCAGAGGAGTATGAGGAGCAGTACACCGAGAGCAGGGTCACTGGGCAGACCTTCCGCACCGCTGGTCACCCCGACACCCCCCCTGAACCGTCACCTCGACCCCCACCTGCCAAGCGTCTTGAGTTCGTGCTTATGGTGAGTGCTGGGGTATGGGGGTAGGTGAGAAGCCCCCAATTTGTGTCCCACCCTTGTTCCTTGTGTGGCTGATGTGCCTTTCCCTCCCTTTCCCCCTGCAGCCCCCGAGCCGGCGAGCTGCTGAAGAGGAGAGCACCAGTAGCACCCCCCTCAGCGCTCGTCCCCCTGACGCCTCCCTGAGCCTCCCCACCAGCCCAGACAAGCAGCCCCCCTGGCCCAGGGCCTTCCCCCTGCCCCCCGTGGAGGAGAAGCAGTGGCACCAGCCCGGCACCATCCAGACCAACATCGTCCCCATTAATGTCTCGGGTAGGGCAGCACCCCACAGCGCGGCAGGGGGGACAGGGTGAGGGCAGAGATGTGCCCCAGTACCTGCTGGGGTGGGGCATGGGGTGGTGGGAGGGGGCTGGGATTACCAGCTGTGTCTGTGTGGGTCAGGTGGGCACCAGGGCAGAGAGGGGACAGCAGGACCACGCTGGCACCCATCATTCCCAACCACCTCTCATGCCATCCACAACTTTGGTCCACCGGCCATGCTTCTGGCAGGTCTCACATCCCTGCTGTGCTGCCCAGCCAGCCAGGTCCGTTGTCACCTGGACTCTTGTTGCACGCCATGCACCCAGACTGTCTCACCTTTGTCACCCGTCTGTCGGTCTGTTTGTCCTCTTGGGGCTGCAGCTCCCAGCAGTGCGGTCCTGCCTGGTCCTTGCAGACACAGCTGCCATGCTCTGCCCCAGGTCAGAGTCTGGGGTTGGTGGCTGGGTGAGGTAGCCCTTCTGAAGGGCAGAGGTGTCTGTCCACCCTTTCCCTGCATCAGGAAGAGCTGTGCCTGGCCACACTGGTCCCTTTCCTCTCCATATTTCATGTCCACATGCCCAGTGTGGTTCAGCTCTGTGGTGCAGGGTCCAGCCTCACCAGTGCCTGTCATGCAGCCAGGGTCCAGTCTCAGCAGCTCTCCATCCGTCCCACCTCCATCTGCAGCATCTCCTGCCATGCCTCCCTCTCCCCCCGCACTCACCCCACGTGGCTCACACCATCCTCCTGCCATCCCACGCTCCAGCCCGTGTCACCATCCCAGGCTAGGGACACACAGGGGACATGGGGGATGGAGGCAGCGGCTCCCAGCAGCGCGGTGTACCGCTGTTTGTTTTGGCTACAGGGCAGCACTTTGCTAGGCTCGCGAGTGCTCGTCACTCCCTGTTTAACACAGAGACCGCGATGAACCCAAAGTCCACCCTGCGGCGTAGACGGACCATTATTGGATTCCCTAACCTGTCCCTGCGAGACCAAGGTGACGGCAAGAACCATGCAGGCAGCACCCAGGCAGGGCTGGCACCCCCCAAGAGCTGCCCTGACCAGGGGGCAGAGCCACCCCAGGGGCTGGCAGCCAGCCCAGGCACAGATGCCCCAGTCATGGGGAAGTGCAGGCACCACGCTGACTCTGTGCCCTCCTGGGGCACTGAGGTGCTCAGCACACTGGTGACGCAGGGCTGGCTTGGAGCTGGCACGGCACTGGGGACAGCCCCTTCAGCCCAAGTCAGGATCCTGAGATAGGAGTCACCCAGCCTTGGCTCCAGCAGCTCTGTCTCTGTATCCTCCATCCCCAGTGTGGGCAGACCCTGTGCACAGGGTGCCAGGGCTGTGGGGCGCACCCCTGCCCAGGTCTTTGCTGGGGCTGGCGAGTTGGCCGCAGCAGTGCTGAGGGTGCGTGTGGCTGAGGGTGCCTGCAGTGCTCCTGGGCTGGCATTGGACCTGTGAGGACAGCAGCCAGTATGGCTTGGGGACTCTGTCCTGCTGTTCCCTATGGAAGGTGTAGAGAAATCAGAGCCAACCTCTCCTTGGAGACAACTAGGGACAGGGGGGACCATGGCAATGGCTGCTCCAAGGCAGTTGTCACCGAGTAGGAGGAAGGTTTCTCCCCATGACAGCAGTCAGACCATCAACAGCTCCTCCCTTGGAGTTGGTTAGACCTCAGCCCACCACAGCCTTGAGCATCCCGGTCTGCTGGGGGTGCTTGGAGCGGGGTCCCCTATCTCCTTCCCCATCCCAGCTGTGCTAAGGTGGCACTGAGAGCCACCCCAGGGTTCCCAGGTCCTTTCCCACTCCAGATGTGCTACGATGTTGTGGCACTGTGAGCCACCATGTCCCTCCCCATCCCAGCTGGCAATGCCTGGCCTGGCTCCTCTTGGTCCCCATCTGTGTCCCCACCATCGAGCAGCACCGCGGCAGCACTTCGGTGACTGTGGGGCTGATGATCCCATGGATAGAGCCTCCTGCCATGGCTGCTGAGTTGTCCATGGCACATTCAAGATCACAGATCCCAGATTCGAGGGTTGGCCCTGCTGGGTTATGGCCATGCTGATACAGATGGAAGGAGAGCACCTATTAACGGGGTAACAACCCCTCCTCCCCGCCCACCCAAACACATTTCATGCCTGGGCAGAGATGCAGCCCCGAGACTGGCCACAGGACCAGTCCTGGCCCCTGGCAGGCAGGGCAGAACCATGACCCTGAGAGTGAGGCAGGATGATGTTCACCAGGCTGTGTCTCTCCTCGCAGGCAGTGCCAACGGCCCCACATCCAGCACACACGCGCCCATCGCTGAGTCCCTCTCTTGCAGCTTTGTGCCTGAAGCCACAAGTGGGGGGACGGCACCCCAGGAAATCAGCTCCCGCCAGCCCCTCTCGGCCCCACTGAGGAAGACCTTCAGTGACCTTGGGGCCCGCTGCTGCCAGCCACCTGCTGCCATGGACGGGGCGGCCACCCCTTGTGCCAGCACCTGCAATGGGATGCAGGGCACCCCTTTCTCCCCACCCTGGAGCACCCTGGGCTATGGGAGCCCCCCCAGCCCCACCGCCGGCTTGGGAAAGGGGCCCACCTGCACATCACCAGGTGGCTCCATCCCATTGCCCAGCCCAGGCTCACCCGCCACTGCCACCCCCTCCTTCTTCATCGCCACGGAAGAGCGCATGGGCAACAATGGGCCCAGCTTCTTCTCCGGCCCGGTGCCTGCATCCCCCCTCACCTCTGGGTGCATCCAAGATGCCAAGGGGAACTTCTTGCCAGGAAGCCGAGAGGAGCCGGAGCCAGCAGCAGGGCCAGCACGGCTGGAGGTGGAGCGGGCAGGGTGCCGGTTCCGCGAGCGGTCACTGTCGGTGCCCACGGACTCAGGGTCCCTCTGCTCCATGGACATCGCGTACGCCGAGACTCGGCGGGGCAGCGCCAACTATGTCCTGGGCTACCCCAGCGCCAGCTCCGAGGGCAGCACCAGCACTGACAACATCTCACTGGGGCTGGAGCCCGAGGGCCAGCGGCGGCGGCGCTCCAAGAGCATCTCCCTGAAGAAGGCCAAGAAGAAGCCCTCACCGCCTACCCGCAGTGTCTCCCTGATCAAAGAGGGGCAGGACGATGATGTGGGGCTCAGTGCAGCGTTGCCCAAGGACCATCGGCCCAAGAGCCTGTGCATCCCACCGGAGCTCCAGGGCCACCGGTTGGTGCATGCTGACCCTCAGGGGAGTGCGGGGAGGGAGCCTGACGGCACAGCTGCCCCCCACCAGTGGCATCTCACAGACTGGAAGGGAGGCAGTGATCCCTACCGATCCCTCTCCAGCTCGAGCACAACCACGGGGACTACGGCCATCGAGTGCGCCAAGACACGGGGCAGCTCCGAGTCCCTTGTGTCCCCTTCCATCTCCAGGGCCACAACACCCTCCCAGCTCTCTGCCGAGGCAGACCTCAAGACCTCCTCTCCAGGCAGGCCCACAGGACTGATGTCCCCATCCAGTGGGTACTCCAGTCAGTCAGAGACCCCAACCCCCACCGTCCCCACCTCTGCCATCCTCGGGCACTCCCCACACCAGGTGCGGGTGAGGCCGCTGGTCCCTGAAAGGAAGTCCTCGCTGCCCCCCATATCCCCCATGGAGAGGAGCCCCAAGGGCAGGCTGTCCTTTGACCTCCCCATGACTCCACCTGCCCACCTCGACCTCTCGGGGCTGAAGATCTCCCTGAAGGGGAAGACGAAGGTCAGCCGGCACCACTCTGACTCCACCTTTGGCACCAAGCTGGCCCAGAAGACCAGTCCCATCATGCCCATCATGCCAGTAGTGACACAGTCTGACCTCCAGTCTGTCCGCCTCCGCTCCGTCAGCCGCTCGGAGCCAGAGGACAATGCCGATGGCCCAGAACATGTTGAGGAGCCAGCGCGTGGCCCCTGCCCAGGGCCAGAGAGGAAGGTGAAGCCACCTGTGGCAGAGAAGCCACCTCTGGCCAAGCGCCCTCCATGCATCCTGCCCAAACCCCCAGCTCTGCGGGAGGAGGGTCCCCTGTCCTCCATGTCCCCACCAGGCACCACTGCCAAGGAGAAGGGGGTGCCCCAGGATGGCTTCGTGGTGCTGCGGAGAGGGGAGCTGAGGAGGGGTCTGGGGGAGCCCTCCTTGTCCCTGACCCCAGCAGGGCCCCGGCGGCTCTCACAGGGCAGCCTGGAGGAGCTGCAGCCGGAGCGGAGCGGTGCCGCCGACAGGGAGCGGAGGAAGGCCAAGGTGCCACCACCGGTGCCCAAAAAGCCCAGCGTGCTCTACCTGCCACTCATGCCAGCCCCGGCACAGGTGGGAGCCAGCATGGGGGACCTGCCACCCACCCCCAGCCCCATCATCACACTGGACGCTGACCCCACCTGCTGCGACCCCGATGCTGAGGATCTGCCGTCCCCCAAGGCTGTGGACACCGTGCAAGCTGGTGACCCTGCCTCGGAGCAAGGTGAGGGTCTCCCCACCCCCACAGTGGGATCACCTCGGGGACAGGGGTGTCCCCCCATGCCGCAAAGGGGCTCACTGCCATCTTCTCCTCCCCGCCCACAGGCAGCTCAGCAGAGGCCAGCACAGAGGAGAAGAGCTTTGCCAGCGACAAGACAGCTGAGTCCATTGTGGAGGAGGATGATGAGGTGTTCACGACATCCCGCACCACGGAGGATCTCTTCACAGTGATCCACAGGTAAGGCTGGTGTATGGCACTGGGGGGGCACAGCCCCTGGTACCCACTGTATCCTGCCACAGTCACAGCACCGGGTGCAGCGTCCCCCCACCACAACACCTCAGTTTTCCATGATGGGGCTGATGCTTACACTTGGGGCAGCCCAGCTGGTGCTGCCTTGAGTGCTTCAGAGCACAGCCAGGCTGGGTCACCAGCTTGCAGGGATGGGTCCAGGTTGGTCCTGCCATCAGCATGACCTGCCATGCTTGCGTTGTCACCTTGCCCCAGCAGAGCAGGCACAGCCAGCTCTGGGCACTGCCACGCCCCTTCCTGGGACTTCACTCCAGCCCAGGGCTGCTCCCACCCATGTCCCTTCGGTGCCTAGGTCAAAGAGGAAGGTCTTGGGCAGGAAAGAACCTGGTGATACCTTCAGCAGCCGACCCACCTCCCACTCACCTGTAAAGACTTCAGGCTCCCCAACCAGTGAGTCGCCGGCAGCAGCAGGCAGCAGCGGGAAGTCTTCCAGCAGGAACAAGGATTTTAAAGCCCTGCTTCAGAAGAAGAGCAGCAAAACTAGCCCCGGTACCCGGCCATCTGCCGCTGAACTGCTCAAGACCACAAACCCACTGGCCCGGAGGGTCATCACAGAGTTTGCCCCTGAGCTGGACAGTGCAAACAGCCCCAGGAGCCAGCCCTGACCACGCAGGGGCCCCTCCAGCCGGAGGGGTGGCGATGGCTGCAGAGGGAGCGCTGCTGCCAGGGGCTGTTCCGGCTGCCAGGGGCCCCTGTGTCCTGCCAGGGGGTTCTGCTTCTGTTTCTTGCTTGGAGAGCTGCTGGCAGAGAGGCAGCAGCTGGAGCCCAAGTCCCCATGTCTCTGGGCCCTTCCCAGGAGGGAAGAGGCATCGCGGTGCCTGGGACTGGCCCTGGTTGAGCCAGCTCCCGGGATCAAAGATGCCCACCCAGGAAGCAGAGTGGGACCACAGCCCCTGGCATCACCCCATGCCTGCAGCAAAGCAGCTTGAGACTCTTTGGACCCTTCGGCATGTGGTACTTTAAACAGCTTTTCTAATGCACAGTGGTGATGATGTTTGATTCTCTTCCCTTTGACATTGTACCTTGAGTTTCCCATGCAGAGATCCACTGCTTGAGTTCGGCTGGACACACAGATGCACTTTGGGAAGACGCCAGGGGTTCAGCTGGATCTGCGGTTGCGTTTGAAGAGTCACAGGAGGTTCCCCTTCATCTCCCCGAGCACCCTCCCTGCCAAACGGGGAACTGGCACCCGGCGCCTGCAGCCAGCGCCACCACCTCAAGCCAAAACCCCACCCCTCGAAAGCCCCCCAAATGCTGCATTTTGGAGCTCCTCAGCTCTCAGTCCAAAAGCAAAACCCCGGGGTCACCTCCGCCGCCAGCCCCGCCGGCTGCACCACACAGAGTTTCTGGCAGTTGCCCCACTCCCCGCCAGCTCCCTGCACCTGGCTGCCGACTGCAGGTGACAGGAATGCAGGTGGCCCTGCACCACAGGAAGGAAGTGGGAAGGAAGTTCATCCCTAGCTCTGCCCCCTGCATCTCCCTAACCCTAAACCTAGTGGACCCTGCAACAGCTTCTGCTGCCCCAGCCCCCAGAGTTCCTGGTGGTGGCTTGAATTCAGGCGGTTGTTACCTGAGCCACCTCCCCAGTGACTCCTGGAGTTCCCTTGGGGTTGCCTACTGCTCACCATCTCCCTGGCGATCCCTCAGGTTCCCCCAGGGTTGCCCGCTGGCTGCTGGGGAGCTAAGCAAGGCCAAGCAGAACACACACCACCAGGGCACGTGCACAGGAGGGTTTGCACGTCTCTGGGTGGGATTTGTCCCACTCACCCCCAGCTCCTTCTTCCCGGCCTGGCTCCAGCATGGGAGGCCTGGCTGCCAGTGACAGAGGCCGTGGTGAGGGGCACCAGGGCAGGGACAGCCCCTGGGACCAGGGGAGGGCGGGGAGGAAAAGCCAGCTCCAAGCATGAGCTCAGCCACGCGCCTGGAGCAACAGGAAGGGCCAGGCTGTGGCTGACAAGGAAACGGGGTGTTTAGGGAAATTTCTGCTTTATTTCTGCACACTCCAGCCCTTCTATGCCAAGAGGAGCAGTGTGGTAAGTCCGGGTGGCAGTGGGACACCATGGCAGCCCTTCAGCTGCTGCTCTGAGGGGTCAGGCTCTGCACCCTTGGGGAGCACAGCCTGGGCAAACACCTCCCTGTCCTCCCTCCCACCCTGGATCTGACCACACAGGGGCTCCAGTCGTTTCCCCTCCCTCCCAGTACTTGCCCGTTGCTCCCTTCCCTCTCCTATGGCTGCAGATTTAAGCCTGTAATTAAGATCCAGGCTGAGAAACTCAGGAAAAAAAAAAAAAAAAAGAAAAAGCCCACAAAAAAAGCTCTAATGAATGTCCACGCTTTGCCCCCATCCCACAGCCCCGCCCGGAGGCAGAGCTCTGGCACGGGATGGGGCCGGAGCAGGGATTGGGAAGGTCTAGGGACGGGTACATTTTGCACATGACTGCTCAGGAAACCAGGGATGGAGCCGGCAAAGGGGGCTGGGGGCCAGCACGGGTCAGGGACCCCCCCTGCAGTACCCCCAGCACTGCTGGCAGCCAGAGTGGTTGATGTTTGGATAGGCCAGAGTGAATCTTGGCTGCTGGGCCAGGGGTCGACTGTGGGACAAGAGATTGGCCATGGAATGGATATTGGCTGTTGGATGGAGATCGGCCGTGGGATGGAGATCCTCATTTTCGTGGCCAGACAAATGGGCTCTTCCTGGCTAAGTGCTCGTCCCTGGCCACTCGCTCCCTGCTCCCTCTGGCTGCGACTGTCCCACTGGGAAGGCAGTGGGGTCCCGGGAAGAGCCCGGCCGGTGGGACAGCCCTGCCCCGGGGCGGGGGCCGCCAAGGTGCCAACTATGGAATGTTGTACTTTTTATCTCGCCAGCTTGGTAAAGTGCTCCCTGCTGCCTGCGTGTGCCTGTGCTTCCTGGGGCTGCCGAGGGACAAGGGGGTGGGCGCGGGGTGGGGAGAGCGGGGGCAACCCCCTGAACAACCCTGGGGTGGCCCGAGGGGACACTGGCCCCGCCCGCAGGTGCTTCTCTGGTGTCTGCAGCGCACTTGTGTGTCCCCAGTGGCTTTGCGGGGTGGCGCAGGGACACTGTGCGGCGTCGGGGACAGGCCACGGCAGGGGCTGGGAATGGTGTGAGGGGCTGACATGGACATATTTTCCTGGGGGCAGGTGGGATGGGTGAGGGGACAGCTCAGGGTGCCAGGGACATGCCAGGGTGGGTGCTGGGAACGGCGGGATCGTGGCGGTGGACTTGGGGTTCTGGGGGCAGGTGGGATGGGCGCTGGGATCAACCCTGGGCACTGGGGACAGCCTGGAATGCACCCCGAGGACATCCCGTGGTGGGCACGGCCGCGGGCATGGCGGGGCCTGATGGGGCGGGGCCTGATGGGGCGGGGCCTGATGGGGCGGGGCCTGATGGGGCGGGGCCTGATGGGGGCAAGATGGCGCCTAAAGCGAAAGGGGGTGGCAAAGGAGGCGGCAAAGCCGGCAAGGGTGAGGGGGCTGGTGCGGCACCGGCGCCGGGACGGGACGGGACACGACCGGACCGGGCCGGGCCCCGGACTGGACGGGTGGGGGACCGGGGCCGGCGGGAGCCGGGGCGGCACTGGGCTGGGACGGGACAGGTGGGGGACCGAGGCCGCGCCGGTCTCAGGGCGCTCCGTTCACAGGCGGCGACAGCGGCGGCAGCAGCGAGGGCAAAGCGCAGGGCCCGAAGGGAGGCGGCAGCGCCGTGAAGGTGAGCGCGGGGGCCGGGCGGTGGGGCGGGGGGGATCCCCGCTCCTCCCCAGCACTCGGGCGCTCGTCCCGCTCGCCACAGCCCCGCTCCGCTCCCCCTCCCAGGTCCGACACATCCTGTGCGAGAAGCACGGCCGGGCCATGGAGGCCATGGAGAAGCTGAAGTCCGGGCAGCGCTTCAGCGAGGTGGCGGCGCAGTACAGCGAGGACAAGGCCCGGCAAGGGGTGGGTGCTGCACCCGGGGCAGGGCGGTGTGGCCAGGCAGCGCCTGCGGGAGCCCGGGCCCTGCTCGTCACCGCTGTCCTGTCCCACGGCCACGTCGCCCACCCTGGCTGCACTGAGAGTCTCAAAGATTAACCCCGATGGTTCCTTCCTGCAGGGGGACCTGGGCTGGATGAGCAGAGGCTCCATGGTGGGACCATTCCAGGAGGCAGCGTTTGCCCTGCCTGTGAGCAGCATGGACAAGCCCGTGTACACAGACCCTCCCGTCAAGACCAAGTTCGGGTACCACATTATCATGGTGGAAGGCAGGAAATAAAATGTGAATGACCATGACCTTGTTGACTGCTTGAATCCCGAGAGCTTCCCAGACGCCTTGGCCTTGGAGCAAGTCAGGCACAACCAGCACCATGCCTGGAGGCTGCCCCTGCCGCCGTGCTGGCAGAGCAGGGCCCTGCCTGGAGAGGTAAAGTGTCCCTGGAAAGGGTGAAACAAGAGCCTTTTGCAGTTGCTGAAGTCTGTGTTGCCTGGCAGGCTGGCCTCATGCTTCTCCCACTGTGGAGACAGTGGTCTGTCAGCAGAAAAACTCAGGCTTTTATCTGCCAACAGAAATGATGCAGAAAGGAACAGAGGGGGCTTGGTCTCCATCCCTGTCCTTCCCAGAGGGTGCAGACAGCTCCCATGGTACAGTTTGTGCTCCAGGGCTGGGGGACAATCCCTCTGGCAGAGGGTAGGTGACACCAGAGGTGGCCCCAGGCAGTGGGTCAGGCCAGGCAGCAGCAGGGAGGAGAGCTGGGGGAAGAAGGAAAGGAGGAGCCCTCCTGAGCACAGACTGACCTGTACCTAAAGCTACACCTTGCCCACTCAGAGCTAGGGGTTTGAATAACTCAGGTTTGAATAAGAAAAAAGCCACTCAACGCTTGTGTCCCACTTCCTGCACTCTGGCACTGGGCACAGGGTGCAGGTGGGGTAGCCCAGCAGGTTCCTGCCATGTCAGGGATATATCCCAGTGCCATGATGCCCTTCCTGCCCACAGAGCCACCAAATCAGCCACAGCTCCAGCAACCAGCACTGGCTTTGTTCACAGGTGAGCACTGTGCACAGAGCTTGGAGATGAGGAGGAGACATCAAAGAGAACAAAAGGCCCTTCCCAAGATCCCACAAAAGGAAGAGGTGAGGTGAAACCCTGGCAGGTCCTTCTCCCCTTTCAAGGTGTTGGTTTTGCTCAGAGGCCAACGAATGACTACGAAGCTGCACTTCATTAATATTTTGGTATGAAGGCTGCCCAGAGCAGAAATGGCCCCATTTAATGGTGCTCCATTAATAAACCACTTGCTTCCAGGCTACCAAAGCTTTTTCTCTCTGTTAGCAAAAGCACACTGGTGCAGCTTCTGCACCAGCAGGATTAGTTTTGTGTTTGTTTTGGCTCCTGGTACAAAGGATTCCTCTCCCAAAACTGCACAGCTCAGCCAGGTGTGAAGTGTCCTGTGCTATCACAGGGGTATCGTGGCAGGCAGCCGTGCCAGCCACCAGACATGCACATGGCACAAGGAAACATCCAAATCCACTGCTGTGTTGTCATCAGGTGAGACTGGCAGGAGTCAGTCCCCGTGATGTGCACAGCAGGCCAAGGTTCTGTCAGTGAGGGACAGGGGGGCAGAGCGTCGCTGAAAGTCAGAACCAGGAGGTTCTGAGCTGCTGGTTCATGGGATCAGGGTTACCCTCAGGCAGTTCACTGACAACACCGAGCTGTGTGGTGCAGTCACATGCTGGATGGGAGGGATGGATCCAGAGGGACCTGGACAGGCTGGAGAAGTGGGACTGTGCAAACCTCATGAGGTTCAACAAAGTACAGTCCTGCACCCAGGTCAGTGCAATCCCAGTCACAGCTGCAGGCTGGGCAGAGAAGGGGTTGAGAGTAGCCCTGAGAGGAGGCTGTGGGGGTGATGTTTGATGAAAAAGTCACCCTGAGCCAGCAGTGAGTGCTCACAGCCCAGAAACCCCCCACGTCCTGGGGCTGCATCCAGAGAAGAGTGGGCAGCTGGTGAAGCAGAGGATTCTCCCTCTCTACTCTGCTCTCCTGAGACCCCACCTGGAATACTGTGTCCAGTTCTGGTGCCCCCAGCATGAGAAGGATGTGGAACTGTCAGAGCAAGTGCAGAGGAGGCCACAAAGTGGATAAGAGGACTGGAGCACCTGCCCTATGGAGGCAGGCTGAGAGAGCTGGGACTGTTCAGCCTGGAGAAGAAAGGGTTGTGTGGAGACCTCACAGCACCTTCCAGTCTGTAAAGGGGCCTACAGAGAAGCTGGAGAGGGAATCTTCCTCAGGAACTGAAGTGACAGGACAAGCAGAAATGTGCTCAGACTGACAGAGGGCAAGGTTAGATGGGATATTATGGATAAATTCTTCCCTGTGAGGATGGGGAGGCCCTGGCACAGGTTGCCCAGGGAAGCTGTGGCTGCCCCATCCCTGGAAGGGTTCAAGGCCAGGTTGGATGGGACTTGGAGCAACCTGGGATAGTGGGAGGTGTCCCTGACCACAGCAGGGCACTAGAACTGGAAGGTCTTTAAGGTTCTTTCCAACCCCAACCGTTCCATGATTCTGTAATTCTGTGAACTAGAAACTCTCTTTATAGCTTCATCATGCCTACAGGGCCTGAGAGATACTTAATCTAAGTTCAGCTACATGCTGCAAGAGGATTTCTTTACCAAAAAAAAGCAGTTAAATCCAGTATCCCCTCCTGCTGCCTTTGGGGTTCTAGCCTCACAGCCCCCCACTCACACATACACACCTGTCAGGGGGTTGAGAAGGGCTCCTGCACCACCACACTGGGTGTTACACCTGGTGCCAAGCAGACGCTGTGCTCTGCTCCACTTCCTCCACTGTTTGAGGAAATTACAGCAGCAAACAGCTTTTAAATCTTTTTAACTCCTCCACAGCCAATCCATTCTCAGACCACCTTACAACCAGGCTGCAAGAGCTGTTCTCTCCTTTGCCCCAGCATCCAGCTCACCCAGATAGCGGGTGACCTTCAGGCACCCAAGCTGGCTTATTTCAAGCCACGGAGGAGGGAGTAATCACAGCAGCCCGAGGCTGGGCTGTGCAGTGGCCGTGGGACCACGCTGTCCCCATCCTCTCAGGGGAGAGGAGCAACAGAACCTGGAGGAGCAAAGGGTGAAGCCAGAGCAACCAGCTTAGAGAGAAGTTTAGACATCAACATCTTTTTATTAATCAGACAGGAACTTGGGCTATTTTCACCTTTGTGAGCTGACTCCATAGTGAAGTTTCCTCCCCAGCAACCAACACCTAGATTTTTGGACTGTTTCCTCACACAGGAGATGCTGAATTTGCTCAGTCACATGGGTGTATGGCAGGCACCAGCCCGGAGCTGGCTCAGGGATCCTGGTGCTGTGGTGCAGACGTGTGTTAACGAGGAACGGCCAGGCTGTGCTCACAGAGCCACACCCGTCACTTCTGTGACAGCTGTCTGTACAAGTTTAGAGTAAGAAGCATAACTTCAGGATCTCCACTTTTTATGTCAAGAGCTTGAAGGAAGCAGTCCAGTGCCTCCTGGAGTTTCCCATCATCCTGAAGTTTCTTCCCACTGTGTACCAAGGTGTTGTAGTCTTCCACAGCAGGAGAGGAATTCTGACCAACCACCTTTTCAGAGCTGCTTTCCTGGGTGAAGTAGTCGATCCGCTCACCCGACTGGAGCTCAGGGTCGCCAGTGGATTCCTCCTGAGACGACTCCGTCTCCTCCAGCTCGGACTGCTCAGATTCCTCACTATCTACGTGGGAGGACTCTTCACTTGTATCAAGTGTTTCTCCAGTAGGTTCTTCTTCAGTCTCAGCAGATTCCCCAGTGCACTCCTCAGCTTCTTCTTCCACAAGCTTGTCTTGCTCCTCATCAGTGTCATCATCACCTTCACCGGTGGTTCCCATGATTTCCCCAATATCCTCCACCTCATCTACTACTCTGTTGATGAACGAGCGCCTGGAAGCATTAGACCTGTTACCACTGTTACTTAGTTGAGGTGACAAGGTGGCTTTAGCTCTGCTTCTGTCACATTTAGGGGTGGATGCGCTAATTCCTTCCAGAAGCTGGGGGCCAAGGCTGTCCAAGGGAGAGGAGGGGATTTGTTCAGGCTCTTCTTCACTCTCACTGTCTGAAGCAATTCTGTTTAGGCGTTTCCTCCTACTAAAAGTAAAGAGACCACTGCTTCCCTCCAATACTTCACTCTCTTGCAAGGAGGCATTTGGCTCTTCCTCATCTGTGGGACAGGGTTTGCCACGGTTACTGGTCTCACTCAGCTGACTTTTGTCTGGAGACTCCTTGGTTGGAGACTGACACAAACTTTCTGCCTGGAGCTGGAAGCTCTCCTTGGGGTGTTCCACTGACCCTTCCCCATTTGAGGCATCCTGCCATCCCTCTTCAGACTCTTCCAAGACCAGATTGAAGTCAGCTTGGTCTTGGAGAGAAAGCACAGACGTATCCTCCACGTTGTCTTCCAACACACGAGACTTGCGGAGCCCACCCTGGATTTCTGGTGGGTCGTTTGATAAGCTCAGCACTGTGGAAGTGGAAGCTGCCTCAGGAACGTCGTTCTGCTCTGTCCCAAGGGCAGTGTGTGGGTCAAGTATCTGAACTGACATTTCTGCATCCCTTTCAGGATTGTCAGCTGTGCCAGACTCGTTGGAGGAATGCTGATGATGCCCAGACAGATGATTCCCTGCCTCAGGCAAGCTATCTGAATGTACATGGGAACGCTGTTTCTCTTGGAGGCTCTGACTCTCTTTCTCAAGTGCAGGGGATGGTGATATAATGCTGAATTCAGGATTTGGCTCAGATTCTTGCCTTTCACCTTGTTCTGCTGCCTTGCTGGTATTAAGCAGCTCTGCCTCCATACTGGACACATCTTGTGGCAGTTTCTGTTCATTCAAGTCATCAATAGTTAGAGTTGTTATTTTGGAGCTGACATGAACTACTTGGGCCTCCTCATCCTCTGTAAGGTCAATGAATTTGTCTTTTTCATGTGTGTCAGCTACTGGTGGTGAAATAAAGTGATTTTTGTCATTCAACCCCGGAGACAACTTTTTGGGTCCAGAAACCAATCCTGGTGGTCTTTGCCCCTTCTCTTCACAAGCGTTCCTGATCCCCTCCATCCTCTGGTCTCTGAGCTGAGACTCCAGCTGGACCAGCTCATGGGCTTTCTGTACCCTCCGCTGGATGTACTCATGGGCTTCCTCGCTCTCCACTTGCTCCTCATGAGCAATGTCCTTCGTGTATATCAGGTCGTGGTCAGAAATGCCAAACATTGCCAGCGAGTGCAGGTAA